TGTTGCATGCTTATGTGGTGGACCGGTCTAGTTTGTATTTAGGATTATTTGTTGTGCCTTTCTGAGTTTGGACTTTGGTGTATTGTAAGACTAGTTAATAGTGGTTGATTGAGTTGAGAAGTTGTGATGATTAGCATGGGGGTCGCATCTCGATGTATTGCTTAGTTATTTTGATTGACATCATCTACCTTGTGAGGCTTGAGCCATATTCGTTTCTTGTGAGATATTGGTCTGAATTATATTCAATTAGAATTTGCCTTGAGTCTGCTTTGAAATGAATTGATTGAATTTGTGAAATATGAAAATGATTGAGGCACTCATTGTATTTTCTTTCCCTTTTTTTTTTTCAGTAAATAACACTCACTAGTCACCCCCTTTGAGCCTTATTGATTTTCTTTCTTTTATAACNAAACAGTTTAATAAAAAAAAATATATAAAAATAAAAATATTATATGTGTATATATATGAATAATGTGAGTAGGGTGTTGGCTTCGGGCGAAAGAGGGAAGGAACCGGTAGGTGTTTTAGTATCGGAGGAGTTCACGATCACAGCTAGGTGATTGAGTGGAGTTGAATAGATTTTTATTGAGCCACTTAGCCTATATTTATCCTAACTGATCCAAAGAGCCTACGTTACATCCCTAAAAGTCCTCTTGATTCACTATTTCATTAATTTGATTGCTTTAGAGTAAAATTTAGACGATAGGCAAACTTATGATTGATTTGATTGACGAACAACCTGAGCGCACCTATTTTATATTTGCGAAAGAAACTGAGTGAGGCATTTGATATATTTCCGTACTCGAGAGTCTTTGTTCTTCGAAATGGCTAAGTTAATAGTCGAGCTGTGCTTTTGTGATCATTGGAATTCTTCTCGACTTGATTGATTGGTTTGAGAATAGTCCTGCTTGAAACCGTTGTCCTTGCTCGTTTGTTTGTTTTCTTCTCGTGTCTTTTTGTTCGGGACGAACAAAGGTTTAAGTGTGGGGGAGTTGTTCGTCCCATTTTTGTTTCGTTATTCGTTGTTGTTTTGTCACTATTTTTCCCCTATTTTAGGTCTTTTAGTTAGTTTTTAGTTTGTTTTGTAGTTTATAATGTGTTTTGCGCTATTTTGTTTTTATTTGTTTTTTGTGTATTTTGTCGATTTTCTACGTTTTTCTTCTTGTTTTTAGTGTGCAGGTCGGAAGGCCCGTGTGGAATTGATGTAGCTCGAAAATGGGCCGGGAAATAATGGTTGGGTAGATGGCTTCGTTGACGATATATAGGAAAAGGCGGAACTCAATTTCGAGTTCATACGAGTCCGGATGGGCCCGATATATGAAGTCGCGCACGGAAGCCGTCACCTTCAAGTCAAAGGCTTTGGAAGAATAGGTGTTTTATTTGAAAGCAAAATTGCGTAGAAGGCTTCATTGGCGACATGTAGGAAAAAACGGAATTGAATTCCGAGTCCAAATGAGCTTGAACGGGCCCGAGAAGCAAAGTCGAGCAGCCAGCCCATCCACTCAGCCCAGGGCCGCACCACGCCCGCGGCGACCTGGACAGAGACCCTGCTCCGTGAGCTCCCCCACGCCGCGGCTAGCACACCCGCCACGCCCGCGCGCCGCGCCACGCCGCGCCAGACCTCTCCGCAACGCCGTGCCACCTCGCCTTTTGCCTATAAAAACCGATTCAGACCCCTCATTTTCTCTCTCTTTTTCCCTTTTCTGCAGATGGGGTGAAACCCTACCCCGTCCGCCATTGCTGTGCTTCCTCCCTCTCTTCTTTTTCTTCTTCATTTTTCTTCTTTTCTTCATCTTTTTCCTCCGTTTTTCTTCTTCTTCTTCTTGGTATTGTACGATTAAGCTTGTATTTTGGATTCAACACGTGGATTTGGGGATTAATTGTAAGTTTTTTTTCTCTTAATTTAATTCATGAGAAATGATTGATTGTGTTGAATCTATTTTACGTAGCTAATGGGATAGGGGATGATTGTTCTTGTTTAATTCGTGATTGTTGGGCTTTAATTTGTTCATTCTTGTGTGAGTTGAATTAATTAGGAATTAATGTTTTTGTGCTTGATTGATTGATATAATTGAAGGGTGACACTTCGGTCTTGCGATTGGAAACGATTGCATATTGATTTGTTGAGTTAGGGTTTGTTGATTCTACATGATTAGTTGATTAAATCTCTTCTATTTTATTTAGCGACTTTCGAAACCGATAGGGGAGAAGTCGTAGAACTAGGCTCGTAAGAGGTAGACATGTTCGGAGACGTATTGTCTATAGGTTCCAGATTGAAGTACACGTTTGTCAATATCCCTTCCCATGTTACGAAGAGTTATTGGGATTCGATTATTGGCCGGTGTTGTATGCTCGAACTTGCTCGTCTATCTTCAATCCCATGTTACGAAGAGTTATTGGGAGTGAACCCCTAGATGTTTAAGCGAGAGTATCAATCTTGAGCCGAACGATTAATCGCCCGGCTTTACGTTTCGAACTTGAATTAATCATCCCCGATTCCTTAGCTTCTTTATCTTTTTGTCGTTCATATTTTTAGGTAGATTTATGTTTTATGTTATTTCTTAGGCAATAATTCATCCAATCACTTTGACTAGAATGTTTAGGATTTATTTTGCTTTTATGTGTTATCAACACCACTTCTAAATTCCGAACCTCCTTCCTTGAGAGATCGACCCGGGGAACGAATCATTCGATTCGGTACTCGGTAAAAGAAAAAAATTTGCTACAACACCCTGCCCAAGTTAGCTTCGTCCCTAGACGTACCTTTCTCTAAGATTGAAGTTAAAACTACGAGTCCTGAAATCTTAACGACCGTTCTTTCTCCCGTTCGGAGAGATAGATTAGCCTGTAGACCATCCATCCTGGAAAGCATTCACTTGTGCTTGTGCGATTTGGTGTGGAAACCAAAAGGAACTAGACAATATGAAGACCTTTGGGGCCTAAAAGTAAAAGCAGTGAATCATGTCCAATAGCCACGGATGTAGAAAGATCTGGTTCCAGGACACTGGATGGAAGGGGTCAAAGTCAATCTCCTCTTCTTCCCTCGTGCCTCTGTGAGTCAACGTTGACACTTTCAATGTATGGATCATACCTTTTGCATCCTCGGAGACAGTAGCCACAGGTAGTGATGAAGTGACTCACGGGTCGAGAAAGTGCTGAGAGAGGGGGAAGGCAAGGTGATGGAGGAGAAGAAAGGGTGTCATGGAGGTTGTTTCATTCTATGAGAATTAAAAGTGGACCCAAAGGCTATATGGTGGTAAGGTGGACCTAGAAAAAGCTTACGACTTCTTGCGCTGGGATTTTGTGGAAGCGACTCTGGTAGCTGCCGGCCTCCCAACTAGCTATATCGCTAACATAATGAAGTGTGTCACTTCGTCCTCGATGAAAATTTTATGGAACGACACTTCTAGTAATGAATTTCAACCGTCCCGGGGGGTGAGACAAGGTGATCCCATTTCACCATACCTCTTCGTTTTATGCATTGAACGGCTCGCACATACTATTCAAAGAAAGGTCGAGAATGGGCATTGGAAATTAATGACTATGGGACGAGGAGCCTTAAAAGTATCATACCTATTATTTGTTAATGACCTTCTTCTAATCTTGGAGGCAGACTATATTCAAGTCGACATTTTGAAGAGGCTGCTAGGAACCTTTTGCTATGATTCCGGGTTAAAGATTAGCAAGCCGAAGACCACTGTATTCTTTTTGAAAATGTCCTACCTAATATCCGACAGGGATTTGGCCGATAGGCTGGGATTCTCGCTCGTCGATAACCTTGGTAAATATTTGGGACTTCCGCTTTTTCATGGATAGGGTTGATAAACGGACTTATTCTCATATTTTAGACAAGGCAGAATCGAGACTAGTGGGATGGAAATCTTCATCTCTTTCGTTGGTAGGTCTTTTGATTGTAGCACAGTCAGTAGTAAGCTCGCTTCTGATTTACACCATGCATTCTGTGTGGGTCCCGAGTTCTTTATGTAACGACATTGAAAAGATTTGTAAACAGTTCATTTGGGGTGGGGGTGGGGAAGGGGGGAACCGGAGACCGCCACAAGCTAAGCTTAGTCCGCTGAGAGGATATATGCAAGCCTCGTTGTGAAGGTTGCCTCGGAATAAAATCCTAGAGGAAAATGAATGAGGCTTTGTTGATGAAACTGGTCTGGGGATTCGCGACAATGCCGGACGCTATTTGGGTTCGTACTTGTAAAGCCAAATATAGAACAAACCCATTTTTTCACGGAGCCGCAACTCAGTTGCCTTAAACATCATGCAATCTACATATAAGGTTTGACACTACGTCTCGATGGGGTCCAAATGGGTGGTGTTCAATGGAGAGACAATGTGTTTCTGGTTGGGCGTACGGGTCGCTAGTATTGGCAGGCTGTGCAATGTGCTTTATTTCCAGTCCCTGTGGAAGATATGGTGTTTCCGGTAAAAGATTTTGTTTTCGGAAACCATGAATGAAACTTGCATCCCTTTGAGCACCTGCTACCTTCATCAGCCCTTCTAAGAATCGCAACAATGCAGGCACCTCCACAAACCTGAGAAACGATCGACTTTATTGGGCGGCCTCGAGAAATGGCAAGTTCACAACTAGCTCGACCTACCATTTAATCGCTGAAGGAGAAGAGGGCGATGTCTGAGGGCCGTGGCAAATCGTTTGGAGATGGCCCATCCCACCACGCATTCAACACTTCATTTGGCTTGTTTTTAAGGGTCGCCTTGTGACGAATGTTTAAAGGGGGCGAAGGCATTTATCCTCGATGGTGTGCTGTCATGAATGCCCGTCTAGAGAAGAAACGCTCTTGCATGTTCTCTTGGACTGCCCGGATGCTACCCAGGTCTGGCTCCTCCTCGTTCCGGTAGATGCGTAGTCTGTTTTTTTTTTTGGCTAGAGTGCAGGACTGGCTTACTTCGAACCTATTAAATCGGCCTTACACCATTGTGGACGCTGATAACTGGGAGTGTACTTTCGACGTAACTCTATGAAAATTATGGCACTGGCGAAATATTTTCATCTTTCAAAGTCGAGGGATAGATGCTTTTGGTAAAGCGAATGAACTAAGAACTTTCGTCAGTAGTGTGTTGCTCTTTGCTGAAGGGGTAAAGAAGATTGGTAGTTTAGGGACTGCTGATGTCCAGCGTCTTGTCCAATGGGAACCGTCGCCGAATTCATGGAAAAAGGTAAACTCAGACGGAGCCCATAATAAACTCAGGTACGACCTTTTTGGGAGGGTTTCTTCGTGACTCCCATGGAACATGACTCGGTGGCTTCCTGATGAACATTGTTAAATGCTCTATAACTGGAGCAGAGTGATGGGGATTATTCCTGGGTCTTACCTTAGCATGGAGCTTGGGGTATTGTCGGGTAAAGGTTGAAGTCGAAAAATCCAGCATAGTGAGATTTGCAAATAATACTGAAGGTACGGAAGGGGTCCATTCTGGTTTGGTAATAGGGATAAGAGAGCTCCTTAGTTGAGACTGGCAGGTGAAAGTTTATCACATCTTTCGTGAGGCGAACTTTGCTGCGGACTACTTAGCGGCTTATGCGGCTTCGGTCTTTCTTAGGTGTCATTGGCTTCCAACCCCACCTTCTCTAAGCTCCCTCTTCTTATCTTTAAGAAAACACTTACTTTTTCAGAATAATTTCGAAAACTTTTACGACAACAATTTAGCTTTAAAAACCTTCTTAGGGTATTTACTTTAAAACTCTTTCTTTCTTTCTTTCTTTCTTATCTTAACCTAAGACTCACCTTTAGGTTCTTGGGAAATCACCTCCTGGATCTTACTGTCTTTTCAAATCAATTAAGACAAAGTAGATAGTACGAGTACTTAGTCTTTAATTGAAAAACAACTGAAATTTGAACATCACTTGGACTCAAAACATGAAAAGCTAAAGCATGTTTGAAAATGTCTGCGAAAGCATAAATAAATAAACAACTATTGACCACCACTGCCCCTCGCGTCCGCTGCCAGCAACTCAACCAGAAAAGATAATTGTGGGGGGTGAGCAAAACAACTAGCCCACCTTGGGCCTATACTATGCAGTTATTCAGTATAATTAACGGATACCATGATATTAATTAGCATGCAACACAAATAACTGGTCATGTAGCCTTCTCATAGGTGCAAATAATCACAATGCAACCATCTCATAGGCGCAACTCATCACAATGCAGCCGTCTCATAGACGTAAACATAATAATTCATGAGCATACAACAACCATAATAATCATAATAATTATAAGGAACAAAACATAACATATACTTCCCCACCTTTACTTCTGACTGACTGAATGAATGGAATGCATGTGCATTTTTGTGAGGGCTCGACTCCTCTCAATCTACAATCTAATTAATTTATTCTTATTATTTAAGGGTTTTGATTAATAGGCAGAGAGCACGACAATTAAGACAAGTAAGAGCACATAAAGTAGACAAACTAATATTCTTGACTTTTCTAGGCTCGTATAAAATTCTCGAATAAAATCTAAGGCTCAGAAAAATCTCATTTTTAACTGGCTCGAACCGGCTGGTCCGCACTTGGTCAAACCCAATTCAGCTAGCTGGACCGCTCAGATCGACTGGTTGTTGCGGCTGTCTAGCACGGTGCGGCTCGTTGAGACCTAGGTCTCGGCCTGGTCGGGGCTGCTGGGACGGCAAGGCACGCTGCAGGCGCAGCTGGCGAGTGCTGGCGCACGGGCGCGCATGGCACGACTGCTGGTGGGATGCTGCGGGCGACTATGGGACGCTGAAGGAATGTGCATGGGCGCTGGCACAAGACGGGCACGTGGGCACTTCAGGGCACTGCGCACGGGCACTAGGCACGTCTGCGGGCACGTGAGCGCTAAGGTGCGGCACGCAGTACGGGACTGCGTAGGAGCGCGAGAGTGGCACGGTGCGCGGGCTGTGCGATGTCTGCAGGGGATTGTGGGCGCCTGCGGTGAATCACTAGGTCTCTGTGCGCCCTGCAGCTCGACCAAACTTTTTGTCCAACAACTTTCGCCGGGCAAACCAAGTCTTTTCTGGCTAAAACTCATATACTAAACAAGCTTAAAATTACTGAAAATTCACCAAGGCTAATGGGATCCAAAGACAACCTAATTAAGGCCTAAACCCCTCTCATGTTCTTTCGCTTTTCTTAAGCCAAAACTTCTCAACTTTCTTAAACAATTTAAGGCCATAAAGCTGAACATAAACCCTTAAAACTAGGCACAATTTAAGCATATAAAACGCAACAACAAGTTCAACAATAATGCAACAAAATGAGGCCAAAAATCAACAGCATGCTTATCTTCTTTTCTTAAATCTCAACAACAAAACAAAAGGCCTTCAATATGATCTTAAATGCTCTGAAAATATACTCATTTCAGCATGCAAAATTCAACAATAAATCGCATATCAAAGCTCAGCAACATAAGATCACAATGAAGCCAAAACACCGTACACAAGCAACTCAATTCTCTTAAAATCGGCCATAAAAGGGTTAAGGAGTCTTAGGCAAAGGTACCTTTCTCGGCTAAAAATTGGACAAGGAAATGTGCACGGGTATAGCTTGTATCGACTGGTTCTTCTCGGCCTTTCTCGGTTCTTTTGGTGTTGCTGAAGAAGGCTCATAATGCTCTGGTCGCACGCGGTCTCCTTGGGCCGCGCGGTCTTCTTGGGCTACGCGGTGTCGGCGGCTGCGCTCGGTTGTACTAAGGAGTGTGCGGCTGCAAACTTGCTAAGGGCTGGGGAACTTTCTCTCGATGAAATTTCCTAAGGGGCTGCAGGAGTTTTTCACGTGGTTACTCAAGGATGTGTAAAGGTGGTGGCTGATATCCATGATAGGTTTAAATAGATGGGAGTTATGTTTGAAATTTGAAAGGGAGAGGCATGGGGTTGATGGCCTAAAATCCAGGGGTTTGCTAGAAGACTTAGTCCAACTCCTTAAGGTGGCAGTTGACTGGTGTGGAGAGGCCTTGAGGTTGTTGTGGTGTTCGAATTATGAGGGAATTGTTGGGGCGTGTATAGACTTGGTCTAGGCTATAATTTGAATTAAAAATTCAATGCTAAGGCCGAGCTTAAGTGCTTGGGTGATGCTTAGCTTGTGTAATGCCCCACTTGATTTGTAAAAAAAATCCATGGCTTTTTCAAAAATCACAATAAAATTTTCAAAATTTATTTTTCGATTAATAAACATTTCGGCGCAACTCATTTAATTCAAAACATAGTTCAAGTCGTGTCTGAACTAGCGGGGATTCATTACCCGGTTTTTCAAAGGTTTTCATTAACCAGCAATAAACATTAAGATATTCTTTCAACCATATACTCATGAATATCAAAGAAAGGTTTTCAACATAAACCGATCCAACGTGTTTTCAAAGTCAAACCAACCAACATGTTCAAATAATCCAACAGAAGTTTCATAACTGCAGAAGCAAATAATAATCATAAATAAATAAGCAAGACCACCCACTCGCCTTGTCTCGTCACCCGCCAACTACTTAACCTGCATCCGTGAAGAGCAGGTGGGAGTGAGTACAGAAGGAAAATATAGTATTCACCACTATGCATATGAATAATATAAAATATGTTAGGATGGTATGGTCGCAGCATGAACATAAACAATATCAACATCATGTCTCATCTCCTATACAATATCACACCAATTAACATTACTCTTGTGCACATCTATCGCTAGCCGCAAAATGAGGATTCATTACCCGAAGGCGGGAGTACGCTCCATGCTACGGACACGGCCTTCCATATGGGCTTACGTACCTCACAAGGGCACGGCCATATCAGGACTTAAGGAGATTGCCACACAAGGGCACCGTACCGTAACTTGACGGGGACAACAGTACCGACGGCCATAACACCTCACATCTATAGGCTACATGTTCACATGCATACATAGATCATACCAATTTCAACACATTTAAAACACACATGCATAAACATTTTAGAATAACTAACCACCTGGTAGTTCTGATTGACAAAAGAAAAATCAGAAAAGACGTAGGTCGAGGCTTGACTCCTCAAACACCTACATTAAGTCAAGATACTACAATCAACATTTATCTTGACTTTGAACAGAAAACACAAATCATACTTAGTCGAACTTGATTCGACTAAGTTGTTCGTGAAGTCCTGTGGACGTTGGAACACTTAGTGTAACGCCCCGTTTTATTTTAAAGATTTTACCAAATTTATTTATAAAAATCAGAGTATTACTTTTAAAAAATAAAACTCAAATTAAAAATATTTAACGAGAAACGGGCTCTACTTACTAACGAAAACATATAAACACATCCAACAAACAAAAGAACCTACACATGCTTGAGCTAACGATATAAAATAATCCCATAAAATCATAAGTCTCAAATCACTCCTAAGGTCTAGCATGAATCAAGGTTCCACCAAAACTTAAATGTAGTACGAAAGCGGAAGCAAGAAATAATCTAAATTATATGAAAGCAAATGATTTAGTAATAAGTTCAAGCGGAAGCATAAGACATCATCAAATATTGACCACCATCTCGCTCGTCTTTACGCCACCGCCTCCAGCTCGTCTCAACCTAAAGCAAAGGAAGAGAAGACACAACAAAGAAAAATAATGGGGGTGAGCATAACCAACAAGCTCACTATTATTGCATAATATCCCTTATAAATATTTTAAAAGTAGTATCATAGTAAACAATATCAGTATGCATAGAATCCAAAAGTCTAAACCCCCTACCCGGCCCTATCACAAACCTCCTATGTACATACAACAACCTTCCGGATACAACGGCAAGGAAGTAACTGGAAAATCACGGATCATGGGAGTCCACCCGGAACTACTCACAGATCATGGATGTTTTCCAGGAGACAGTGGAGATGTTTCTCCCCCCCGAAACACACACGGATCAGGGCGTCTCCTCCCGGATACAACGGGCATGTGACCTCTCACTGTTATGCATTCGTCAAAGGCACTACCAATAGGATACTTAGACTAGGGTTCTCATGCATACAACAAATTTTCAAACGAAGCATTTATACGAAATATTAAGTGCGATAATTATGGAATACATCACAAATGTACCCACCTGTTTGCAGCGACAGATCACAATCACGAACCTCAAAAGCAAGTCGAGGTCAACACCTCTAAACACCTACATTAAGTCCAGATACTAAAGTCAACGTTTTATCTAGACCTACGTAGGAAATCACAAATTTAACTTAATCGAACTTGATTAGACTCAGTGGTTCGTGAAGTTCTGTGGATATAGGAACTCTAGGACTTAGACTCGATCAAATCACGTTTTGAAGTTCACACAATTTCAAATCAAAGACAATTAAACAAGCTACAAAGAAACACATAACAAATTTCAGATCACACTTGTATTAGAAAGTCCATCAAACCAACGAGTTAAGTTCTGAAAATTTAACACAAAATTCACCTCCCATTACTAATGAATGAATCAGGAGTTGATATTTTAACACATAAACTACAGCATGTGAATGACAACATATAAAAATTTCAGCCATTGACATCAACTACACGAATTTTAGAAATTCATACAAGATTCTGCAGTTTTCGAATTTTAATTAAAACCGTACCAATTGAACTCCAAAAATTTTTATCTTTACACAGCATGGAATTTAGTACAAATAAAACACTTCAGCCAAAAATCAGAATTTTTCAGCAACTGATAGATTTTTCATAATTAAAACAATATTCAGCAGATTATCCAAATAAATTATTTACCCTAGAAAACCTAGTCCAAAAATTCTAAACATTGTACACAACATAAACACATGATAGAAGCACATCATACTAAAATTTCAGCATATTTGAAGCACGGACCAATTTATTATGCATTTAACAAGAATCTGCTCAGAAATCACTTTAATCATTAAAAATTGCTACAGACTGAGAAAAATTATGAAATTTTTACACAAGCTTAAAAATCATCAGAAACAATTACACCTAAAATTTCAAACCAATCGGAGCAACACACAATTTTTGGTTTATTATTATTATTATTATTATTATTATTATTATTATTATTATTATTATTGTTTTTATTATTATTATTATTATAAATATTATTACGTGCCTAATTGTCATTAAATGTCTACATGCTCATTATTATTGATTAATTAAT